AGAAAGCATTACCAAATTCCACGACCTAATTAGAACCAAAACTAAGCGTAGACAATCCCTCTCTGAACTATTGGATGATGTGAATTTCATTAAGTTACAAGACATGGCTGACGGGTCAGGACCAATCAGTAGAACCCACCTAGTCCGAAGTCGTCTGCCATTATAGTTGTCATGATTCGCAGCATCAGACAGTGGACTTGGTACATTTTCAAACGTTGAGCCGGCATCATCAGTGAATTTTGCCAGTCTCCGCACGAAGCTACGAACGCGTCAGTGAAAAGTGAAGTCAAACCTTCGACAAAGGATCAGCCGAAAATGGTTGCACTATCACTCCTCTTTCTGTTCTGGACCATCTATCCACTCGTTACACTCTAATCCCACTTCTCACTTGTCTACATTCCACTCGTCAAAATGCGTGCCCTTTTGTGGCAAATCTACTGTGCCTCATCACACCTGCCATTCACTCCGGCGGCGATGGGAGCTAGTGGGCTGACAGTGGGTTTTATAAGAGATGTCGTCCATGTGGCAAAGGCCTGACCATGACTATTACTCAAAGGTTTTGGCCTCGAATTAGTCACCCAAACTCAGAGGAGGGGTAATACCACCTCGAGTAGCAGATATAGAGAAATATTTAAACCAGAGAGATCGCATGTGGATTCTACGGGGCAAGAGAGAGACTGTGGTAAGACCTATGGAAGAAGGATGGCGTAACAACATGGCAGACTCTGATCAACATTTCCAGAACAAGGGTGAAGGGGGGTGAGAGGGCCAGCGCGGAGTGCGGAGGGTTCTCATGAAAGCCGCTCAAAAGGGCACACACTGTACCACATTTAATTAACAAAGTAAAACATGGGGACAGTGAAGGTGTGATAGGACACATGTTTGGTCAAAGGATCGACTTCACTTGCCTCCCTTGACGAGTTGTTGTGTGGTGCTACGAGTGGCTAGACTCACTGACGATGCCGAATACGATGCCGGCGAAACGTCTGGGCATGTACCACGTCCAAGGTCCTACTCTGGAAATGATGATGCATACAAGGGACCCTGGACTAGGTCCCTTCCTCTAAGTCTTCCAACCAATAGGACCAAGTTGCGAAAACAAGGTCAAACAACTTCTATATGAATTACTTGTGCTTAATTAATAGTCTGAAGGACGGAGAGAGAGTTGAGCCGCATGCAAAAAGGAGACAACACAACTAGTCTTTTCTTGTCCTGCTTCTACTTTTAGCTCACTTTTTTTCTCTCGCTTTGAGACCAAAAACAAAAAAAGGCTCATCAACTAAACCCGACGTGTGTTGATCTTGCGCAATCGAAGTGATAGTTATAACTTAAATATAGAAATGAGAAGATAGGGGCTATTACACCTTGACGGTCAAAATAGAAGTTCCTTTTTGCTGTTCTAATTACTTTGAGCCATCACTTCGGGTTTCGTCTATAAGCGAACACAAACAGGCACATACACATACAGAGACAGACACACGCACAGGCATCGAAGTTGACATTTGACCTTAACTAACCAAATCACGTTACACTCGATCAAAGAGGCCAGATGTAGAGTAAATATACCACTTTTTAGGGTATTGCCGGTTAGTTTTCTTGACTCGCTAGCTTGAATTCGGTTGTGAAGATGGTACCTCGCTCTGATGATCTTCGTCATATGACGGACGAAAGCTTAACACCTTTTCACCTGAATCGAAGGAGACTGTCTCGGAAACAGCGTCAGCATGAATGTTGCAGTAAAGTAAAGAGGAATGCGCCGTCGTCTTCTGATGGAACCAACCTTCGAATCTCTTCACGCAACACTTTCACTCGAAATGGAAGTAAGCTGAACAATCATGAAACAAGCGCACCTTTTCTCCACATTTTACTTTGGTCAAAGACATCAAACGCACTGCTCGCCCATCCATGCCCCATTTGGCGTCCAGACTGACTCGCCGTTGCCGCGAAGCCGGCTTGTCTTCGGCTCGTCATCGGCTCGCTGTTGACGCGAAGTCACGTCGCCGCTTTCTCCGAACCCTTTCGCTCAGGCGCCTGCTTCACGCAGTCGGCCGCAACACCTCTTCTTCTACCCATTTCCCGACATTTCCCTGCCTCCACCTGCACCTGCTCCCCTCCGCACCGCCGCTCGGAAGCCTCCTCGCCGGTCGATCCTCTCCCAGTCCCAGAGCGACGTGACGCCGTTCGGTCCAACCAAAACACCACCGACATGGCATCGCCACGGCGGCGCGCACAGAAACAACCTCTCTCGTCCTCTCACCACCTCGCAGCGTCATTCGGTGCCGGTCCGGTTGTCGTCAAGGCCCGTGAACATCCGCTTCTCACCAGAGCGCCTGGTCCGGCTGTGATAGACCAATCCTCGGGAGTCTGAGCAGCAGCAATCGATAATTGCGTCTACGTCGTCAATCGACTAAAGGGAAACGCGACAAACTGCCTTGGCATGTTGAGGTCTGTGTCTCAGGCGGAGACGGACGAATCAATATTGACCGCCCACTCCG